CCAAATGTGCAATGATGGTATGTTTCATCATGCGACAATACGTACACATTGGTGAAATTGGTGCAATTGACAATACCATGGACAGCCTCACCCCTAATGTTTACCAGGCAGCAATGGTGAAAACTTTTGTGAATGATCCAAACAGAGGGCTGTGTGCTAGGGCATTGTGATACACATACAACGTCCCCTGCTCTGTGATAAGGAAAAAATTATTTACAACCAATTTTTGTTAAATTATATTCTATGTTTTGACGAATGTGGATATGTTGGCATATGTCGTTTTTGATAGTTTTTGTTTTTTAGTGTGCTTCGATGCACAGTAGGTGATGTAGGTTTTTATTAATGTGTTCGACTTTTGTAACTTCGATTGGTTTGTTACGTTATGTCGATCGTTACAGAACATTGTTTTTACTGTGTGAATGTTGAAGCAGTTAGGATATGAATTTTGTTTGCACACAAGGAGACATGTGGATGATCCATATCTGTTCGTAATTTTTGAATATGCAAGAACAAAGTTGTTGCCTTTATAAAACACACATATTCTGGACTAACTACGTCAAATATGAGGATGATAATGAAATATTGAACATGTTAATGTCATTGGATCTGCCCACAGGATAACATACATATTGCATACATTACCAAACATGAACAAAAATAATTACAACACATGTACTAAATAATTAATGCAGACGTTTGAATGTTTGTGTTGTTACCTTTGCTGCATATGGTATTTTCATCGTTCCAACAATGCAATGCAAAGACAAGCAACATATGGCACACCTTGCATAAAACTCAACAATACAAACATATAATACACCTTACAAACTAGATGAACCACACACTGAATTAAATGTTATGAAAAAAAGAACAACAACATAGTGGTCACCCCTTACAGCCATGATGCATAACGAGCGCTAGACCCATCACCTGGCACTTGGTGTCAATACATAACATTTTGCCAAACAAAGTGCAGGAACATCTAATAATACGCGTATGTGACGTATTTTTTGTTTTTTTAACAACAGCAACATGGATGAACATAGGAAATTGTTGTACTAAACATACGTGTGAATTTAAATGTAATACCGGCTAAATAAGTCATTAACATTTACGTATTACGTAAAACAAACAAAAATGAGAAAGTGTTGCCATAATAAAGAAATATGCAATATAATTTGACGTGCGCTAATGCAACGTCAACACATTCAACAAACTCTAAAATTCGAAAAAAACCATGCAACTATACCGGGCAACCCCCAAACAGAAACGAAAAGGTAGAATATACTTAAAATTGGCAATGGTTTAGAATGCATTATGGCTAAATCGGTTCCTTGCATGTCTTCCTGTTATGATTACCCATCTTCCCACATTGACTACACCGAATGCGTTGCACCACTTCACCCTTTGACGGAATCCTCCTCCGTTTCGGTCTTCCCGGTGGACGCCTGACAGCAGGCGGTGCAATTAGGTAATCATTAGGCGTGACCATGGGTTTGTCAACTGTCAGAATGGGATAGATGGACCCAGAATACAATGCTTTGAACTCAGTAACATGATAAAAAGCCTCAATGGAATCATAAATGTTCCTCTCACTATTACGGAATGCAACCATGGCGTGTGCACATGGGAACCCATTCAGCTGCCACTAATAGCACGAACATGTCCGCCGATTGACATCAACGAATACCGACAAGTGCGAGTGAACCTCATACACATCCTCATCCGATTGACTTACAATCCACGCTCTACTACTTTTGTATTCATCCTCCAATTTCGTCTCCATCTTAGGGCAAATATGGGCAGCCCACTTGCTACATTTCACCCTATGCTTCGAAATTTGCCCCATGATTTGACCCCTAATAGCATCAACCAATTGCGTAATAGGAAGATGACGTGCTTCTCGAATCTAATTGTTGAATGACTCGGCCTCGTTTGATGACATCTCTCCGTACCGGCGACCCCCGCACACTTACACAATCAATGAAAGGCCCAAAAAATTAAAAACAAATACAGTTGGTTTTTAAAAAATATACGATTACGGTTACGTACCTAAAATACGCCTTAGCCCAATGTTCGGGGTCCAAATCTTTCAAGAAATCCCCCACGATCACCGGACTACACAATTTAAGAAGCTCAATTTTCTAATTGAACGATGTGATCGTGGGTGCGTACGCACATTCGCGTAACTTGCGCATAAGTCCATTTTTTTGCTCGGCGTTAACATATTTCATTCGGTCTTTCAGGTTGATCTGAAGATGCACGAGACAAAATGCATGATGAGCCAACGGGAATACATGCGGAATGGCATGTAGCAGGCGAATGTGATGATCCGAAACAAATGTCAAGGGCCGATCACCATCAACAACCTCCGCCAGTTGACGAAGAAACCAGTCCCAATTTGCTGTGTTTTCGGAATCAACAATTGCAAATGTGACGGGAAACAAACCCGTGTTTTGTCAATGAAACAAAGTGCAATAACACTCAACCCCATATAAATGTGTCACGATTAAAACAACAAAAACACAGATTAATAAATAAAAAATAAACAAACAACCATCCCATGTGGTAGAACATTACACGCACACACCAACAAAACACCCACTAGACAACATCGGTAGACCCAAAAAAAATTGGCCTGCCATATAAGATTGAGATTGGAAACAACCTAGATATAATAAGAACAACCCATAGCACCACAACACACACAACACACACATTACCTTGGTTCCCATCCTTTGCTAGCGGCAAGCAAATTACCCTTAAATCTATCCTTCAAAAACGTACCATCCAGAAATAACAACGGTCGACAATGCTTGAACCCATTTATGCACGCACGGAATGATATAAAATCCCTCACAAACCTCCCGGTTCACTGTTCAAACTTGAGATTTATGCAACTATTTGGATTATTGGCCGTAACTGCATCACTATACCACCTAAGTTGGTCGAATGACATAGCTTGATCACCATATACTTCACCTCTCGCTTTCTCGACACCAAGCCAAGCAACCCGATAACTAATATCCAACCCGTAATCATTTTTCAACCCAAATACGACATCAGTGGGACGCGTCATAGGCTGAGCACGCACCTGATCTGCAACAACGTTGGCTACTAAATCGTAACCGGTATGTGGGTTCCTAGATGTCCGTACAGCTGCACCACATATGTGCAAATTATTAAACCTCTTCAAACAAAAAATATCGTTCGATGCTAACACCCTAGCATGTACCAACCACATACACCCCGTCGACATTGCAAACTTACAAACAGTTGTAACACGAACCGAATCATTTTTTGTATATTTAAATTGAAACCCACACTCGACAGCGTACTTGGAAAGCACCGTCCAAAATTCGTTTGCTCCACCCATAAAAAATTGGCCCACGTTTGTAACAGCACTTGCCCACCTAGTCGACAAATACGTCTTCAATCTATGCTGGCAGTACGATGGTAATAAATCAGAACGGCCATCCACAACAAACATCTGCTCCCCGCCGGCACTGTGGTTGTCTTCATCCACCATATTGCGTTTTTGAACACTAACATCGACATGCTCGAGTGCAAAAGACTTAGCAAGCGACATCATATTCTGAACATCCTCATCACAAACAACCTTGAACTTATTATATCCGGGAATGGTGAAGAATAATAATACCATCTCGGGGGACAACCCATCAAATTTTAGGCATATCCCATTGATCAATTCTGCATATGTCAACGTTTGACAAAGCCGAACAACAGCATTGGTTTGCCCGTAAGAACACAGCAACAAACTAGCAAACTCCATCCCTACAAACCAAAATACATTACCATAGATTCAGGATTACACATTAGGAAACAAAATCAGAAATTAAAATAGTAGATCACTTTGCATGATCAAAATATACAATTACACACACCACACTCCGACACATTTGCATTATGAATAAACAGAAATTAAAATATTGCCTTCGCCGACAACCCACAACAGTAATACAGACTTCAACGAACCAGAACGGCAACACAGACTACTGAATACTATCAAACAATAAACTTGCAACATACAAATCGACATCAACAATCTGACAAATTACACCGAAGACCACAAAATCAAATATATACAAAACGGCAATGTACAAATACATTACCACAAATTCAGGAATCAACATCCGAAGACAAAATCAACGCAATCCCCAACAAAGGTTAAAAGAGTAAACTACAACAATACCCAAACGAACAAAGAGATTCCATCACAACTAAATAGGACCTAACGGTTAATAAGAAATAACACAGGATCAAATGGGTTAACATTCCTTGATTTGGGATTTATCAGTAATTTTTCCTAGATTAATCAACATGAGAATTATACATAATTAATTAAGATTAATAAGTGATTAAAAAAATTATAAAGTCAATTTTATGAGTAAAGTTATTATTTTAAATCAAAAGTTAAAAGCTGAGATGATATAACAAACCATAACGCTTTGTTTGGTTGAAAATCTTTGGAAGGGATTTGGGAAGAAAAAAAGAAAAGATAGGTGAAATATAAATAAAATATATCTATATACTTAATTTCACACATTTTTTCATTTTTTCTTTCCAAATCCCTTCATAAATTCCCTAACCAAACACAACATAAGTGACAAGTTTAATTGAATCATTTTAATATGTAGAATGTTATGAGAGTTTAATTAAAAATCTGATTCAGATTAATAAAATTGAGAATAATTAAATTAATCCTTAATTGAGATTAATTATATTAATTAAGTTTTATGGTAATCATAATTAATTATGATTAGGCAAGATCTTTATAAATTTAGAATAATTAAATCAAGACTTAATTAAGTTTAATGGAATATCAAGACTTAATTAAGTTTAATGGAATTAATTAAATCAAGTGTTAACTATAATTAATTAAGATTAAGTAATGTTTAATTAAATTAATATATAATTAACAACTAACTTAATCCCACTCAAACTAATCAGAAAACATGCGTATATTTGGCAGGGGTTGACTACGTTCTAGAGAATTTGAGCAGAGGTCTGTGTGTATTCATTTACCCTTTTTGTTGGAAAAACCTGAGGGAAAGAAAGAGAGAACCGAGAGAGGGCACCGAGAGAGAGAGAGAGAACTCACGGTGCTGAAGAAGAACAAAGAAGAGAAGAGGAAGACTTCAAGTTTTGTGCTGAAAAATTGAAGGAAGAACTCAAGAGATTCAACAAATTAAAGTTCTAGGTAAGAAATCCAAGCATAATTCTTGCAAGAAATTTATCTGACAGTTGAATTCAAGAAGTAATTGGGTTCAATTCCATGAAAATAGAAAGAAATTAGGAAAAGAATAAGGAAATTTCAATTAATTTAGGTACAAAGAAATTTGTTGAGAAATTAATTATTTGAGTTTGATTTCTATCATTTAATTAGCCCTTTATGAATTTGAACTCAATCTCTACATACTCATGATTTTTACAAGTTTTGAGACTTTAATTTCATGATCAAAAGAAAAAGAAAGAATTTGGAAAATATTAAGTTCATGGAATTTTAAGTTTAAATTTTGGAATTAATAAGATTTTGATGGAAAAGAATTGGGAATATGTCATGTTCTTATGTTTATTATTGGAATCCCAAGTTTTGGATGAGGTCTTGCATGAACCCTAGCTGTAGAATCAAGTTTGAGAAGTTGAATTTTCAGGAATTTCGAATCTGTAAAGTCGCAGACTGCTCGAGTGGAGATGTTTGACATCCAGTATTTCCATTTTACAGACCTGAATTCTGAGAAACTAACTTGACCACTCGAGTGGTGAAGATGACCGCTCAATCGGACACCCTATACCAGCAGATTTTGAAAATTTCCTTCTGTTCATATTTTCTTTCTTTTCTTTTTCCTAGCATCTTTAGGCATAAACTAAATCTAATTAAGAGTTAAATAAGCTAGAAATCAACATAAGTGAATTGATTAGGAAAATAAAGTAAAATTTTAAATAAATTAATTAGAAAGGATGAGCGTAGACACCACATTTTGACCGGTCCTAAGACTTTGGCGTTTTCTTTTGATTACCTGATGATGAAAATAAGAATACGTTTCTCGCATAATCCTCAGTAAGAAATATGAAATTTATGTTTCATTGTCAACCATAAGCCTGTTTTGGCCAAATGTTTAAATCTCATTCTAAACTCTCTTTCGAAACTTTCTTTTCGCACTTTGTTCTGAATATTTTCGTAGTGTTCTGAGGTTCATTTTTAAACTTCAAAATAAGACATTTTCTAAAGAAATTGAGCAAAAAACAGTGTGGAAATAAGAGGAAATGATGATAATTCTATCGAAAAAATCCTGTTTTGTGCAAACTAGTCAGGCCACAGCCAATTAATTGGCCGGGCATTCACAAAATTGGCCGGCCGGCTAATTTTCCCAGGAGCAGGGCTGTCTCAATAGAATTCTTGTTGAATACGTATGGGTCATGCCATTGCAGCTATTATTGATACATTCAATGCATGAGATACACACCCACCCCTTCCATTATCTTCATTGGCCTCCATTGTCAAAAGGGATTTTGTCTTCTTCCAAAAGGTTGTATCCATTTCAACCACCCTTATCACTCCATCATATGCGTCTCTCACTTTGTCTCCCACCTCCTTGACTTTACCTTCCCTCATTGTCTATATGGATGACCAGAATGTATCAGAAAAGAAGAGAAGAGAGGAATGTATTGAGAGAAGAGATATAGAGAGAGAAAGAGAGTTGTTTTAAGCTTTGAGCCAAAACACTTCCATTTTCCATACACTGGTATATCAAGTTTTCATATACCAAAACCATCACATAAATTCTGTTATAGCCAAATTTAAGAGTTTTGATTCAAAAGAGAGTGAGTGTTATCAGAAGAGAGAGAAAAAAAAAACTGAGAGTTGTATAACTTCCATCACGCACACTATTAAACAACCCAAAAACACTATTCAAACAAAATTTCAAATTTTCAAACTGAGAATTGAGAGCACACTTTCTAAACTTGAGGGTGATCAAAAGGAAGTTTAGAAATCAAATCTTTTCTTTGGAATGTAAATTTTGCACACTTTCATTTTCTTGTATTTTCTCTCTTATATTGTTTTTCTTGCTTCAATTTCATGTTATAAATTTGTTGTAAGCTAATTAGAAGTGGTTAGTTGAGCCACTTACATATTTTCCGTTTGTTTTTCTAGTGTTTGAAGTAAAACAGAGTTTTTGGCCTGGCCTAATTGGCCAGCCGACCAGCTTACTTTTTGGTCGACCAGCTCATCTTTTGGCTGACCATCCACTTTCTCCTTGACAGAATCTAGCAATCCCTCGGATGTCGAGCAGAACAGTCTCCGATGGTCTCCGAGGCCCCCTGAAGCTTCTGTTTTTATTGTTTTTATTTAAATTAGAGAGAATTGTGAGGATTTAATTTTGTTGTATATTTTTATTCCTCTCCCCCCGTATTCTGATTTTTAATATTTAAAGTGATGTAATAATTTCCCATCCCCGCTTCTTCCTATCTTGTTCTTTTAGTCGTTTTCCGTATCCGTACATATGTTGTATATTTTGGTCTTGTCATTATATCTGCATTCATGTTTCATGCCTTAAGATCTGGCTAAATTTGCATTTGTGGATTTAATCAATTATTATGTGATTTTGTATGTTACCTCATGTCTTGAGATGATTCACATGTCATATAATAGAAGCCGAATCTTTAGTTGCATTTCATGAGTGAATTGCATTATGATATTGTGTATGGGATCATGCATGTTTTTACTAACTATGTTTTGTAATCGTTTACAGGATGTCGGTAAATATGTAAGTTTTTGTGCTAGAGAATCTCACTTGTGTGTTTTTCTGCTATGTTTAGCATCCTACTATGCAGCTATTTGTTTATTTGATGTATCTCTATGCATATTGGTAGGTGAAGGTTGTGTTGTTTAATTTAGAATAAAATTGATTTTCATGTGTATAAAACTCAATTTTTTATGTTTTGAATGCTATTCAAAACATTTTCAAAATAATGAAATCAAATTGTTCCAAATTAAACGACACAGTTTATATTTGTTTTGCTTCACATAGTAAATTTTAAGATATACTAAATAAATCAGAATATGAACACATATAGTAAATAAAATTTATATTTTGGCTTATTAGAGGTCGATCTTTTGATCAGTTGAGCAGGGGTGCTTAATTAATGACTTTTCCCCTTCATACCTAAGGTTCCGAGTCAAGTGTCCTTGGTTATGACGAACAGTGGCCTTGGCACAAGTCACGGGTTTCCTAATTTTTTTCAAACATTAGGTGGCGATTCTGAGATCCGATGACGCAATCCATTTATGGTAAATGTTTTTGCAATAAAACGGATTTGCTATAGAAGTTGTTAAATTTGGACTTTTATCTACGTTTCACATTGTACTCGTGAAACTAGATCGTAGTAATCGACGGTCCGAACTATTATCACACTTGGGTACTCCCGAGCATTGTTATAGTTTCTGGCGACTCTGTTAGGGATATTATGAAACTTTAATTCGAACTCTATGATATGACTTTTATTTTCAATTATATGTTCATTGCATTTCATGCATTGGTGCACTTAAGTCTCATGCTTGTCACCTGTTATCTTGGATGGCTTTTCGGCTTCGGGCGGATAGACAATCATGGGCTCTAATATGGTGGGAGCACAAGCCTAGGAATCGGGATCACCACATACCGCTCGATCCGCCGAATTAGGTAGGTATATCAATGTCTCGCTGAGGTACCTTTTTTGACCAAGACTGACCTATTGCCTATAGCAAGCTCTAGTAACTTCTAACATTAGGGCAGGATGCTACCTCATTATAGGATGTATGATGCCACTTGTGTGAATAGTGAAACATTAGATCATGTCAAATCTAGGACATGATAACCCTACCGTTCATAGGGGTGTTTGTTCTCTTTCCTACTATGTGCAATGTATTGGATCTGGGCTTCTCAAATCTGATCAGTGGATTAGGTATATCATTTTGAGGGGTTGAGTTTAGTGTGCATAATGATCAGTTGAGTTGAAATGTTGTCGAAATTCTGATTTGGGAATTCCGTTTTGTTTTTGCTAGATAGTCGTATCACTATAGCTTCAGAATGGTTTGATATCTCCCAAGTTTTGTGGACTTGCACTGGTAGAGTTAGCAGAACCATAGATTTGTTTTAGGGATAGCTAGTGTTAGTTTCTCTACTACCAGTTACAAGGAAGAAGGTTAAGACCTCACTGTCAGTACCTTGCCAGCTAGAATCTCTAAAATTTGTGAGCAATCCACCTCCAGTAATGACGGACCCACTTCCAGTAGTGATGGACCCACCTCCAATAGTGGTGGACCAACCTCCAACAATAACGGACCAACCTTCGGTAGTTATGGCAAACATGCTTTTGGCCCTTCAACGAAGCATGGATGCTATTACCAACAAGGTTGTCGCTAACAGGGAGTCTCTTGCTGAATTGCAATGCCCATTTGGGGCGTTCACATCTTATCCACCTCTAGTGGTTCATCCGGATTTAGAACCACATCCTCCATAAAATGATAATTTTAATCTTAGCAAAATATAAAAAAGAAACAAAATTAGAAAAGAGGGAAAAATCAACCTTCAACTAGGACCAAAAAATTACTATTCATAAGAGATCAACACCTTTATATATAGTGAATGGTTTATGTAGTTGATTTTGAATTTCACTTTAGTTCATCTAATTCTACACAGGTGAATCATAGTACAACAAAATTAAAATATATAGTTTAAGTTAAAACTACAATAATTAAAATGGCAATTCACTGAAGTTACAAATACTAATGGTATAATTTATTTTGTTTCATTCAAATCGGTTGGTATTTAAGCCACATAACGACGTCAGGCCCCACTTTTACTAGTTGCTTGAGCAAGATGGTTTGAGAAGAAATTGTTTTTTTTTTTGGCTTAGGGACAATATCATGTGGTATTTTAACTTGTTATTTATTGATTAAAATAATGGGATATAATATTTTTGGTCATATTTTTGAAAAATAACTTGACAAATATCAAGTAATTAATGGTGTGAAACAATATTTCAAGACCACCAAATAATCACTCAGAGTTGGAATAAACAACCCCACTCTTGAATAGAGACTACCAATTCCTCTATAGTCACTTTCTTCATGACCAAAAATAACAAGGCGAAATTACACTAGTTGTCAGAAGAAATATTTATAAAATATAAAAAAAAATATTCATAATATTAATAATTCAAAATTATAATTTTTTAATTAATGTATAATAATTTTTAAAAATCCCCCTGAATAGTAATTTCTCCTGATAACAATTCCCCTTAAGGTCACGTTCTTTATATTTACTAGTTAATGATTTCTTTATTTTTGGCTTCAATGATTCTTTTTATTTAGAAATTACAGAAAAATGGTAACAAATGCAAAATATTTCAAAAATTGAGAATCTAAAATATTTACACTTGACATGAAAATTTAAAAAATACTAACAATTACATTATTATTGTCCTCTAACTCTTTCCATTTTCCTTCTCTTTTTATGTACTCACTGTAAACCTTAATCTGCTGCCAACCATTCTTCATCCTCTTCCGCCTTTTACCTTACCCTCTCTCTTTCTCCTCACTCTTCTCTCTTTTCGCTCTCTTCATTCTCTGCAAACCCCAACTTGTGTCACCGCCATCCCTTCTCCAACTACCACCAATAATTCTCACAATCTCCTCCGTCCTCTGCCTCTCCTTCGCATTCTTCCCTCTTCTCTCCTCTTCCATCTACTGACCCTAACCTGAGGCTGGAGAAATGGCTAATGACGATAGGACAAGTGTAAAAGGGGATGCCAATGATAGAATATGATTTATAGAGAGTAAGAAAGAAAGGGGAAGAGAGAGGAGCTAGACTGAAATAATGTAATTGTTACAGTGCCTTATTATTTTGGAAGATTGACCAATAAGTTCCATATTTTGGACTTGTAATCCATATAGGCCCATTTTTTATTTTTTTTTTCCTGGTGATCCATTTAGTTCTTTTGGATGTGTAATGACTCATTTGTCCATCACATTGGAGTGTCACGTTTAAAACAAATACACTAAGAATTTTTTTAGTGTCACATCATACCTGCCACGTTGGAGTGCCACATTTAAAAAAAGTAAACTAAAGAGTTTTTAAATTTTTTAGAGTGCCACATCATACTCGCCACGTTGGAGTGTCACATGCCACGTTTGGAAAAAGTACACTAAGGAGTTTTTAATTAATTTTTAGAGTGTCACATCATACTCGCCACGTTGTCACGTTTGAGAAAAGTACACTAAGGAATTTTTATTTTTTTTTTGGAGTGTCACATCGTTAGAGTATCACATTAATACCTGTTACATTGGAATATTACATCATACCTGTCACATTAATAAAAAGGTATAACTGTACACCAAAACACTACCAAAATAAAAATTAGGACCACAAGGAAAGAAACTCTCCACTTATAGGACTTAACAGATCAATAGAAAAAAACTTAGGACTAATTGGAGTACTTGTTTGTGAGATGAGATTTATTAATAAATATCCCTTTTATTTTTAAGTTTTTATGTAAATTGCAAATATTTTAGATTCTTACTTGTTTGGCAGTTGTTTGTATTTGTTAGCATTTTTTTATTTTTTATTTTTTTTTTTTTGCAATTTGCCCTTTTTTCTTAGTATATTTTTATCTTTAGTGAAATATTTTCAATTTGTTTTGAGAAAATCTTGTAATGCACCATAAACATACATAAGAAATCATAGCATGTCGTAATGTAAACATTTAATCTTAAAAAACCATAAGTTATGGCATAATAAAATTATAAAATTTCGTAATCCGTCCACAAAAATTGTACCTTGTACTCTAAAATAGTTAACCGATTTAGACGTAAGTTGTAATAAGTGTGTAAAATGTTCAAGGGTCTACATTAATTCAATCAAATTCAATGGCTCAAATCTTGCAACTTTCAAGTCTTGCACAATGTAACACTTCCTTTCTAACATTCATAGAAAAAATATCAATATTATTAATTGGACACAAAATTATATAGTCTTTTGGACATAAATATAATTGGGCAAATCACACCACTATGGTGTTAGTAAAAAATAATAACAAATAGATGGTAAATATTATAAATATTAATAATTAAAATTATAAAATTTACCATTTATTTGTAATAATGTTTTGCTGACACCACCCTTATAATAATTTATGTGGGTTACGAGTTTGTGAATAAGAGACTCAAAAGAAATCAAGGTATTCCCTCTTTAGAGGCTTTTGAAATAAGGGAAATTTTTGTAGATCTCATACTTTCATAGTTTTAGTACATTAACTTACAGAATATTAACAAGTCTCAGCATTGCTTGACTTAAATACTCTTATGTTATTAAAACATGAGAGACACAAACAACTTAGAGACAGTTATACTGTTTCATTTTAAAAAATTAAATTCCATAAGTTCAGTTTTATACATTTGTTTTTCAAAAAAATTATATGGGGCAAAATCCACTTTATTTCCTTAATTTGGGTCATTTGTACTTCACTTGTATTTCAATCATAGGCATAGAGTCCTTTTGTGGTTTTGATTGTTTAA